AATTACCCGCTCGACCCATTGACGAGAATCATCGGTAAACTCGAAAGCAGGGTCATTGAGCAGTTCTGATTTCAGAACCGAGTAGACTCTCAAGAATTCCGATCTCAGGTCGCTCATAGTTTCGAGAGAGAGAGAGAAATTAGTTGGTCGATTGAGAAAAAAATGGATTCAACTGTTTGAATGCGACTTATCCAGAAATTAAGAAAAAAATTCTTTCATTCAATAAATGACGTGTCTAGACATGTTATTAAAATAATTAGCCCCGTTTGAGCCGTTATTAGAATTCTTATTCTCATTTTTCTCCTCGTTTTCAACCACACATATTTAATAAAATAATATTTTTCAACACATCAATAACTTTTCCTTCTTTTTCATCCACACATTCTTTACCAATCTACTGTTCCAAAATACATTCTTCCAAAATAAATGGCTCAAACACACCCTCTGATTCTAATTTTTACTAATTAATTCTAGAATTGAATCTGAATCTGAATCTAAATCACGAACTTTTAACTTTACCCAAGTTTCGAGCTTCTAATTGTAACTTGTAAGAAGTTGATGCTTCAAAGTTCCAAGTCTTTTATGGTATTTTTCAAAGTCAAAATGTTGATGCTTCAAAGTTCCAAGTCTTTTATGGTATTTTTCAAAGTCAAAATTACACCGATGAATATGTACTTTCTTTTAATTAAATCAAAAAAGTAATTCTTGAATTGGATAATAAGAAAATATGTTTTTTCTCATTTTTTCTCACTCCAAATTCGAACATTATGGAATTGTGTATTCTGATTCTTGTATGATTTTTTATGTCCAACCAATCTCTATTTCTAGAGATATAAAAATGTTCCATTCCATGTAAAATAATAATTTCAATATCAAATATGAGTCTTAATTAAAATCGAGTTTTAATTAAAGTCCAAATACAGTTAGTTCTCATTTATTTACATGTGTAGTCCAAAAATTACAATTATAATTAAGTTTACAATTTTTATGGTAATTACAAATAAGTACAAAACTTTATTATAATTACAATTAAATCAAAAATTATCATAATTGCAGTAATTAAGTTTAATTACTTTATAGAGCTACCACTGGAACCTATCGGACATATATTTTCCAAACTCCAATAATTAGATCATATCTAATCAACCCCAAACTACTCAGTCAAATAATTGGTCTTTGATCTTTCCATTAAAGACAAAAGACTGAACTCTTAAAATATATAAAATCACATAATTCAATAAATTTGTAATATTTTTCTCAACATGCCGTATGTCTATTATATTCCCATCCGAGATTCATAATTAGGTACAAGCATAAAATACCGTTTTATTCCTCTAATTATTCTCACTAACTTAAGTACAATTTTCTTCAATGACCATGTGAACAAATCATATATGTCGAAATTTAGCCGTCACTAAATATTGAGCTCATATTTTAACCGTTCAGCGGAAAATATTTAAGTAGTCACTCTATCCATTTTTTAGGACGACGATTCTCAACACGAATTCATTTCTCTGTTTCGCTCATTTTCAAGTTCTCAACTCATTGGGATATTTGACCAATCAACTTGATCTCACTTATTGATGAATCAAAGAACCATTAAAATAATGAAAAGATATACGTAATTGTGTCAAGGATTTAGATGAAATACACAACGGTCAAGTTGAATTTAATTCTCCGCACGATCATGATAACGCGTGGTCCGTTCAATACACTCCAAGTGTACTAGTGTCACATTTAGATATTTATGTAATAAGGACAAATCACAAACGTGAATAGTGAATCGGACAACACTACAACTATTCGGTACAAGGCGTCAACTCTTATACATAGGTAGTGAACAAATTATTTATGATCAAAACATAAGTTGTATCACACTGTACTTCTAAACGCAAATATCTAACATATATTATCACAAGTAATCGTAGACGCTTTAATTCGCATACTCAATAAATAAATACAATGAATGAAATAAAAACAATTTTATCTAATATAAGAATATTATTATTTTTATATCAGTAAAATTATACTAAATGACTGTTGCAGACTGATTTAAAATGTGAGAGTGAGACTCACTTGATTTATCTGTAACACTAAAATGGCGCGCAAGCTGTGAAAAATAATCACTTGTTGGAGTCCAAAATCTCCGCAGCCTTTCGTTTTTAACGTGGGCACTAGGTTACAGTTGGTCAGGGGCGGAGGGGAGGGGGGTCCGGGGGGGGTCCAAGACCCCCCCAATTTTTTAATTACAATTAAGTCCAAAACTATCATAATTGCAGTAATTAAGTTTAATTACTTTCTAGAGCTACCACTGGAACATAATCGGACATATATTTTCCAAACTCCAATAATTAGATCATATCTAATCGACCCCAGACTACTCAATCAAATAATCGGTCTTTGATATTTCCACTAAAGACATAAGACTGAACTCTTGAAATATATAAAATCACATAATTCAATAAATTTGTAATATTTTTCTCGACATGGCGTATATGTATTATATTCTCATCCGAGATTCATAATTTGGTACAAGCATAAAATACCGTTTTATTCCTCTAATTATTCTCACTTAAGTACAATTTTCTTCAATGACCATGTGAACATATCATAGATGTCGAAATTTAGCCGTCACTAAATATTGAGCTCATATTTTAACCGCTCAGCGGAAAATATTTAAGTAGTCACTCTATCCATTTTTTAGGACGACGATTCCCAACACGAATTCATGTTCTTTATTTCGCTCATTTTCAAGTTCTCAAATCATTGAGATATTTGACAAATCAAATTGATCTCACTTATTGATGAATCAAAGAACCATTAAAATCACGAAAAGATATACGTAACTTTGTCAAGGATTTAGATGAAATACACAACGGTCAAGTGGAATTTAATTCTCCGCATGATCATTCTAACGCGTGGTCCGTTCAATACACTCAAAGTGTACTAGTGTCACATTTAGCTATTTATGTACTAAGGACAAATCACAAATGTGAATAGTGAATCAGACAACACTACAACTATTTGGTACAAGGCGTCAACCCTTATACATAGGTAGTGAACAAATTATTTATGATCGAAATATAAGTTGTATTACACTATACTTCTAAACGCAAGTATCTAACTTATATTATCACAAGTAATCATAGACGCTTTAATTTGTATACTCGATAAATAAATACAATGAATGAAATAAAAATAATTTTATCTAATATAAGAATATTATTATTTTTATATCAGTAAAATTATACTAAATGACTGTTGCGGACTGATTTAAAATGTGAGTGTGAGACTCACTTGATTTATCTATATACACTACAATGGCGCGCAAGCTGTGAAAAATAATCACTTGTTGGAGTCCCAAATCTCCGCAGCGTTTCGTTTTTAACGTGGGCAATAGGTTACAGTTGGTTGTACATAAAAAAATAAAACTACATGTGTATCCTCATATTCATACCTGAGTTATGCTACATGTACATTATGGCACACATAATGGTGTCCATAATGTACATGTAGCATTATTCATTCATACATAGCTTAAGAATGTCCAATGTTAGGTACATTGAGGGGGCGCCACAGGTACATTATGGACACCATTATGTGTGCCATAATGTACATGTAGCATTATTCATTCATACATAGCTTAAGAATGTCCAATGTTAGGTACATTTCAATTCAAATTTTAGGATTCTATATTCGCTTTTATGAGAGCAAAAAAAAAGACCGTAAAATAAACTTTTTTACTTAGCCACATGCAAACGAAAAAAGGAAGAAGAAATCCTGGAATTCAATAAAAGTTGACTCGTGAATCGGTTGACCGATTGAGTTTTGATATAATTTGATCTTAATGCACATCACTCACCTAATATAGTCCAATTTTTTAAATATGAATCTAAAATTTGCAAACTTGATTTTTGAACCCACAAAATTGAGCTAACGAGGTCAAAACTGAAAATACTGGTTGTAAGCACGATTTTATAACCAAGGTTCTAAAATGCGTAAATCGTGACAATATGTTTCGATCGAGCATCAAGCATTATAAGCATATACGCGTCTGTGCGAACATATGAGTAATTATGCATTTGTCAATTTTTAATATTTTAAACTACTAACTAAATAAAATAGTGCATTCTTTGAACTTTATACATATTTTTCAACTTTTCAAAATTTTGAACGATATATATTTTTCAAATTAAAAAAAAAAAATTACTCAAAATCATAAATACCACAATTATTCGATAATTAATTCCTTCAATTATATTAGACACAAACACCGTTTAAAAAAAGAAAAAAATCCTAAATATTGTCGACTCTTTGTACGATTATAATTCAATCTCAACTTCTTCATCAAAGTCATCTTTTGTGTCATCCGGTGCAAAATCATATTCATCGAGCTTCATTATTTCAACTCAAGAATTTCTATTACCTATTATGGTTTATAAGATATTTTGTTAACCTCGTTCTCATCATACCGTACTCCACCGCCTTTCCTTCAAATCCACCATCACTTCCACTTTCACCACACTACCACCTCTACCTACAACAAACCACATAGACACGCACAACTAGAGATGTAGTGTCGCCATAGCCATTGCACCAACAATCCAACATAGACACATAATTTTGCAAACCGCACCACCTCAATTGTTGTAGATCGCCCGTGTCGCTCGACAACGTTCAGCAATGCTGTAGATCTCTCACCATTACTACACACGTCGGTGGATTTAACAAAGTGGACATACTTTAGAGGTAGGATTTGACGACACAGCTCCGAGTAAAAGGCACGACCTAGTGGCGATGGTCACCATAGACGATGCAAGTGAATGAGTACATATCTTATGCGTTGATCCACCATTGGGTGTGCGAGGAAAAAGCGATGGCTGGTTTTTGGTGATGGTGGCCGAAGTTGGTTGGTAGATGCAAAGTTCATGGGTGCTGTAGATAGAGAGAGAATCGAGAGAAGATCATAGAGAGAGAAGGTCACAGTTATGGTGTCAAGCATGCGTGTGGTCGTGGGGTGGCGTGGGGTGAGGTGATGTGTAGGGTAGGGGTGTTTCTAATTTTTGAAAGAAATTTTTTTTGTACCTAATGTGAGATGCTAAAATTTAGGGGTGGGTGTAATTTCTTCGATTAATACTATTTATCATCATGACGATAAATTATCGTTTTATCGATTATATGACAATATATGTGAAATAATGAGATTGAGCAATTCAATTTATACGAGAGAGTGAGAAGGAGAGAGAAAAACGTGAGTGCTAATGGACTGACATATCACTAATGATTTAACATCGTGATATAAATAGCATTAATCAATTTCTTCTAAGAAACGAGTCCACAGTTTATTGAAAAATCCACAGCCAAATTTAGAGAGTAACACGGCGTCGTTTAGGAGTTAAACCGATGGCGTTAAAATTGGTTAAACTTGAAACTTGGAGGCTCCTTTAAGCGTCTCTCTTCTCTCTCTCTCTCTCTCTCTCTCTACTGTAATAGGGAAGTCGAAGGTAGTCGAAACCCTAATCTCTTTCTATGTTATTGAATTTGTTTTTGATTTTTTACTAGCAAGAATCCTATAATTCTTCGGATATTAAGCATTCTAATTGATCTTGTATTAACTGCGGAATAAAAATGAACTTTCAGCGATCTAGGTTTACAATATGACAACCGCAGCCAGACCCACATGGGCACCTGCCAAAGGTGGGAATGAACAAGGGGGAACTCGAATTTTCGGTCCATCTCAAAAGTATTCTTCCAGGGACATTGCCTCTCACACTACCTTGAAACCTAGGTTCGTTTTTTTTCTTTTTCCTTTCAATTTTTGCAGACTTTATGTTCATTAGTTTTCCTTTATGTTACACGCTTGGAATTTATGTATGCTTAACTTTTTATTGATGGTTTAGTGTGAATTAGTATATTGTGGTTAATGAGGCCGCTTCTTTTGTTGTCTATTTACCCAAGTGATGTGAATTTTGACCCTCTGATCATGGTGAGATCAAATAAATAGCTTCTAAAGAAAAAATTGTGAGAAACTGTGGCCATGTTAGTTTTTGCTGTCATTGCTAAGCTTCACGCGCAGTTCTTCCAGAATGTATAATTGGGTTTGCTGTAGATCTCAATTGAAGAGAAGAATGGACGACTTTAAAACGATCAAATGATAATCTTCGTAGTCTAGACGTGAGATTCTTTGTTCTAAATTAGAAAGATGGGTTCGATATGGCTTTGAAAATCTCAAAATAAATTCTCTCTCCCATCTCACCTTGATGAAATTTTGGAAGATCTTCTGTGGACTGCACTCCATAGCCATTCGTTAGTTGGCTGCTTTCCAATGTGCAATTTTTATTTGTCTTCCTATACACACATGAAACAGATTGCTGTGTACATTACTTTTGCATCAAAAGTATGTTTGATTTTTGGTCACCTATGCTGGGGAGTAAGGCTTTAGTTTTTTTGTTGCGAAACTTCATCTTTGAATGTTATGACCTTTTCTTGTCTCGCCTCAGTCCACGATGATTATAATTTTAGTTCGTTAGTCTTTTTTATTTTTTATTAGTTTCTATATATCATTTCTGCATATTATGTGGCAATGGCTGTTAGAAAGTATTCATATTTTTATTGCCATTTGTACAGAAAAGAAGGACAAGACACACAAGATGAGCTACAAAGGAGGAATCTTAGAGATGAATTGGAGGAGCGGGAGAGGAGACATTTTTCATCGAAGGGTAGGAATCATTATCTTGTCCCAGAATTTTTTTGTTGATTTTGTATGAGTATGCGACTTGTATCTTATGTTGCAGAGGATAGAGATCGTAGAAGAGGAGGTCACCTTCTTTTAGAAGGTAAATGATACATGCTTGATTCACTTTTAGAATGAAACTACTTGGAATTATTATTTTTTTCTTGCACTTTTTGATCAGCTAACGGTATCTTTGTTACAGGTTCTAAGAGAGAAGTTGAAGATCGTATTGTTCCACATAATGTGGATGCGGATGATGCCGATGTGGGTGTCAAAAGTGATGATAGGTCTGCATTATTCCCCATTTTCAATATATTTTGTCACTGCCAACTGTACTTTCCACATACATAGCTTGATTTGGTGATGAATTGCAGTGTATTTATTTTTTAATCTCTTTTCATTAATTATTGTGATATATGGGTTCACTGAAAAATTGTTTACCCTGTGGCTAGTGAGGATGACGATGACGATGATGATGGGGATGATGAAGAAGCACTTTTGGCTGAACTTGAACTTATAAGGAAGGAAAAAGCTGAGCAGAAACTACGAGAAGTAAGTTGTTGTTTTTTGAGTTCTTGTTCACGTGTTTAACTTCACTCGGTGAACATAATTGAAATTTTTGGTATTTGCTAGAGGAATGTTGTGATTATTCTTGGTGCTCTTAGTATTATCAATTTGTTGATACCATCCACTGGATTTTCCATTAAGCCGATAGTTGGGTTGCTATTAAAATTTAAAATGACAGTGTCAATTATTGATTAACCTATGGTTGTTGCACTTTTCATTAAGGATGCATTTTATGCTTTCGGCAGGAACGGCAGAAGCAAGAAGAAGAGCTGCAAGCCAAAGAGGCAGAATTGTTGCGTGGAAATCCCCTGCTAAATAATCCAGCTTCCTTTAGTGTAAAGAGAAGGTTTAGTATGCTGTCAATCTTTTGTACTTAGTCACATGCTATTTTATTTATTTTATCATATTGTTACTTAATTCGTCTGTACAGATGGGATGATGATGTGGTTTTCAAGAACCAGGCCCGAGGTGAGACCAAAATTGCAAAGCGCTTTATCAATGATACTATCAGGAATGATTTCCACCGGAAGTTTCTCCAAAAGTACATGAAATAACGCAGCTATTTGAGTAAGATACTCAGAGATGTGAGCAAAAGATGTAATGAACAAAAGAATAGTATGCTTGAATGTATGAACAAACTTTGAATGTGCTCAATTTGTTCTAATTGCTGTTTACTTGCATAAAAGTTTGCACTGTAATTTTCGTTTGAATAATGTTATTCATCCCTATTGGGGATGAAAACACAGTCTACGTGGCGTTAATGTAGCATTAAATGATTCATTTAACCTATCATTTAATGCCATATAAACCGTGTTTTCATCCCCACTGGGGATGAATAACATTACTCCTTTCGTTTATGTGGATTGTTTCTGTGTTCTATATAATGGATTGTTGTGTATTAATTGTTATTTCTCTTGCACCCATATACCTTGTCAGCTGAATGGCGGGTTCTATCAAAAGATATTAAGGCCCTGTTTGTTTCTGATTCTCAAATCAATTCTCATTTTCAACCATACATTCTTCAATAAAATAATATTTTCCATCACATCAATACTTTTTTCTTCTTTTTCAACCACACATTTTCCATCATATCACTATTCAAAATCAATTCTTCCCCCAAAAATCCCTACCAAACAGGCTCTGAAATCACATTACTAGATTTTGATTAAAAAAAAAAAAAGTTGATGGAATTTGTAGTTGAAAAATTGTGAATCCTATGACGCGTACGATTAAAATTAATTGTTGACTTTAATTAAAAATTTTAATTAGAAAACATTTGATCTAGTACAACATCTTATCAACAAATCTACTTTTCAAATATTGCAGCCATTAAGAGTGTGTTTGATTGACTTTATTTTTCATGAAAAATAAAGTCATTTTTCTATTTAAATTCTCTCTTTTGGGGTGTTTAATTAACAATTTTTTTTTTTTTTTTTATGGGAAACATTTTCATACTTTTGCTTATCTGATCATATTTTTCTAAAAAACAAGGTAAACATTTTCTTTAGAGGATGATGGTTTTTATTTTTTAAGTAATTCATCATCTTTTTCTCTCTCATCTATCCATCAATAAAAAATGAACAAGTATAATATTTTCTAAATTGAAAAATTAAATCATTCAAACACATTTAATTAATAATTTTCATACGAATAGTTTTAAACAATTCAATTGTCTATAATTAATTTTTTTTAATGCAAATTTCATACTCGCAATTAAACGCATCCTAATTTTTTTTTGCGTACACAAATGTATGCTAAAGCCATGGCTTATAGCACCCAAACTTCTCGTACAAAACAACAATAATAACCAACTTGAAACTTCACATGAACTTGAATGATTATTTTTGAGATTAACTTTGCCGGTCAAAGTATCAACAGAACGATGTCGTTAGGTAAACAAAGCTTCGATGGATTATTAAGAACTCGAAACTCGAGTCTACTCCTTGTGACTACAAAGAGAAACAAACTGATCAGAATCAAAAGGGATATTGGTGAACTCGATGGTAGCTAACTCAAGGGTTCCGATTCCACCCGACGTGTCATTAGTCCTCGACCTTACTCCAATTACCCTGTTCTTCGTCTACTCCCAAAACCGCTATACAAAATCTATTACCTAAAATTGGAGCTCAAACATAACCTTTAGGTTGTGTTTGATACACCAAAAATTTCATGGAAAATGGAATTAGTTTTCCATTTTCCTCAATTTGTAGTGTTTGATGCCAATAATTTTCTTGGCATTTTGTTTTCTACACCACTAGCTCACGCACTTGTTTTCCACTAATTTTTTGAATTATTTTTTTCCACCTTTTTAGTGGGAAATGAAGTTCCAGGTTTAATTTTTTTTTTAATTTTTTTTTGTAATTAGAACAAATTTCATAATCAATTGTAATTTTTTTTTTTACTTTAATGGACANTCATAACCAATTATAAAAAAAAAATTCACTTTAATGGACAATTTTCATGTAAAACAAAGTTTAACGAACACTAAGTTTTGATAAAAAAAAATGATTTTTCAGGAAAAAAATTTCTTTTTTTTGTTACTTTTTTGTAATGGAAACAAATTTTATAATTAATTGTGGAAAAAATTTATTACTTTAATGAACAATTTTCATGTAAAATAAAATCAAACGAACACAAAAAAATTCAAAATTTTAACAATTCCCGCAAAACAATTTTTAGGCAATTCAATTTCTTTCCACCCATTTTCCACCATTGCAATCAAACGGACCCTTATTATTTTGAGTAGCTTCTTATGCAACTGCGGAGTAAAGGATGAATTAAAGTTTTCCTGAAGATTCAAACTTATCAGTTGAAATTCGTAATCCTTAGTCTTATATTATGTTGCTGAGGATTTATATCCCATATATATCTCTATTAGGTTGAAATTTTATGCTTTTAAACATGCTTGCAAGAGGATGGTTGATGAACACGTGTTGAAATTGCTGTTTGAGCGTTAAAACGTATGTGTATTTCATGTGAAATAGTTGAAATTTTCCCCGTTTTGACACACTTTGTGCATATAGGGCTGCTACTGGTGGGTAAAACAACTTACATTGCCACAGTAATGAAAAACAGTGGTAAGTAGCTAATTTGCTGTTACTCCCAGCTACTACTGTTGTAGGTCTATAGATGGAAACATGAGAAGATTTTCTCGACTTCTACTTTCTTTATTACATCAACGATTGATCAATGAACATGGCGCTTACATCGTTTTTGGGCTAGCTTTCCATGTTATTTTGTATCTTCCATGGACCCCTTGTCTGGGGCAACACCTATAATATCAACGATTGATCATTGAACATTGCGCTTACATCGTTTTTGGGCTAGCTTTCCATGTTATTATGTATCTTCGATTGGCCATGGACCCGTGTCTGGGGCAACACCTATAATCTATCAAAGCCTCTCCTGGTTCTTGTTTTCATTTATTTTTATCTATTCAAAAAGTTTGATTGTAATAATGATAATTCACATGTTATAATTCAAAATGTTCTTATTTTTGTTTCGTGTGTTGTGGTAAGAAAGGGGAGGTGGGGGATTGAAACACGTTATTATATGCATAGAGCATAATATAGATTTACTTGTAGAACTTTTCAAGGTGGCGATTGGCATAGAATTGATATATTTTTGCATTACATTTAATTATGAAATCTATTCGACTCAAAATTAATATTATATTTGCTGAAAGTACAATGATTGCAAATTCATGCTATAAATTGCATGTCCAGTTTAGTCAAATTGTTAGATCTATATAAACAACGCATTATATATATATATAGTCAAGGCTCAAATCCCTTACTGCAAATTTACGTCGCATGGGGGTAACAAACACCATAGTTTGTAACTATGACGGGAGGGAGGTAGGATCATTCCTCAATCCTCATTGTTCCTGGAATTTCTTCAAAAGATTTGAGATTTTTTGTTTCCATTTTTTGTAATTTTTGGGATCACTCTCCCCCAACAAACTCGCGCACATAAAAAAAAAAAAAGAAGAAGAAGAAAGAAACAGAAAGGATTTTTTTTTTTTTGCTGGAGGAAAGTGTATCATGCAATTGTGTTTTACTGGACAACCAACATCCTTCTACTATAATGCTGGTGTGATGCCAATTTTCTTGTTGAAATAAGATAATCTCTTTCCACTATTTTGCGGAGAAAACGATCCCTGAAGTATTACTTCAAAGGCTTTGAGCACCAAGAAGAAACAGAAGAAATTAATACTATTGTGTATCTTTCCTATTTTCTCACATTTCCGATCAGGATTTTATAATTTTTCTTATTATTCTTGCTTTTATTTATAATTGTATCATGGTTGCATTCTGGTCGATCTAACATCTTTCTGTTTCTTTATAAATCAACTTTAGCTGCCAAAAGTTTTGGGCAACAACACAGTTGATAGGGTTCTCTATTGGATGCTCCTTGCAGTGGCACTGGGGTATGCTATCAAGCTTAATTTTGAATTTTCATGAAAGATTCATTTTTTACTCACCGTAGGACAAATTTTGACGTGGTCAATCTCATTTAGGTCATATCTAAGGATGAGTCCGTGAAAACCTCGAAAAGTGCTTTAGATATACAAAATTGTGCCCATCTCCAGAAGGTATGGATTCTTGTCATGGTGTGGATATGTTTTTACATCCCAAAAGTTACATTTTAGCACAATTTTCAGAAGGAAATCATTTTCTAATATTTGTGGCCTATGCTTAACCACAAGTCATGGAACCTTGAAGAATAATTAGGAAATACTAACATAACTCCAGCAGTTTCTAAATACAATGATAAATGTGCCGTGGAAATTTTATCAGAATCAGGGATTAGCAGGTATACTTGTAGTAAGACACCCCTGATGTTATTTTGTTGTCTGGGGGGTTATTGTATTTAGTTAATGGTTTTCTAACACACTGGCAGTTCCTGTCTTTAAAATTGTCTGCAGCAATAGACATGGTCGATGCCAATTCAAAATCAGGGGGATACATTGTTTACTCCATAATGGTTGCTGAGGTTTGTCACATTTTCTTTTCTTAAGTTCTCGAATGTCTTCCATTTTTTCTTTCTGAAGCCTGGCATCTGCAGAATGAGGCGGTTATAGATTATGCACTCAAGAAGAGGGATGTAAAACTTGTGCCTTGTGGACTTGATTTTGGGCGTCCAGGGTATTACCTAGCTACAACTCCTGTGTCTAATCATCGTTGCTATTGCATTATTTACGGGCTGATAACATTTCTTATCTTTTCTAGATTTTTACCGTGTCTAGTTGAGTAGCCGATAAACCGACTTCCAAACATTAACTTCAGATCTTACTAGATTTAAATTTTAATTGCTTCAATAGGTATGACCAGTCATCCCCTCCTCTTTTCCGCTCATTTACGAATTTGTATATCAATATATAAATACTTTTTCTTTGAATACTTGTAACTGACTTGTGTAGCTAAGAGCTTAGAATTTGTTGCCTGTTCTTTCCTTCTTTAATTTTTTGGGATAAAGGTTTGGTTGGGGAATTGAATTATGATTTTGAAAAAAATGTACTTCCTGCAATAATCAGTAGAACGTATGGTGTTGCCTGGGCAGTTGTTTGCACGGACACCACTACTGTAAAATATCAGTCTGCTTTCTTCTAATTGCAAATTCCATTTTTATTTTACAGTTAAAGAAAATGAGCAATTCCAAGCGAACTCCAAATCCCCCCGAGTTGATGGAGAGCAATGGCCAGAACAATGGTGATGGAGATATCCACCAACGCCCGAAGAAAAGGAAGGGTGCCAAAGAGCATAATAAGTTGAGCAACGGGTCTACTAAGGGCTGGCGTTTTCTTTTCATCCTCAGTTTAGACCTCTTTTAACACCATTGATGATTACAGAAAATTCAGTTTGCCTCCATTACATTTTCTGCAATGCAGTTGAGTTCTGATTCTCGTCTGATCATGAAGAATACTGATAACAATCTCGGAATCGATTTTGATTGTTCTTATTTCTAGGATACGTATAGTGTTCGATCTTGTTTCAGTTGCTCATAACTCTTGCATCTATCTTTTAAGGCTTCCTTCTCGAGAAGCTAGGCAATTTACTAATTGCATGTTTTGATACAAATGGTTGGGTGTTACATTTGAAAATTGTGATGAAAAATGAGATATGTGCAAGAATCTCTACCCTTGCTATAGGAGGTGTTCCAGGAAATACAATCTTGTGGTTCCTTTTGAGGTAGACTCGTATATGAAAGGATTGTTTACAATTAAGGGAAGAACTGACTTGGCAATTTATATTTTTTATTTTTAAACTCGATATATAGTTTTCAAACCTTTAAGAAATATACAGTTAAATGCGAACAATCTTTATCGATTTTCATTTAAAAATTTATTAATTGATCAAAATTCAAATGTAATACAAAGTAGAATGATTATACTAAAACTATTAAAAAAATAGAAACACGAGAACTAGAAAAGAAATAAATGATCAGGTAATTAACGAGATGAGACAAGGGTTTTCACCAGATTTTCAATCGAATGGATCATTTCATCCAAATTTAGTCGAAGAGATGAGACAAGGGTTTCTACCAGATTTTCATTCGAATGGATCATTTCGCCCAGATTTAGTTCTCTTTGAGATACATTCTCTAAAATCTCATTTTTTTTTTTCAAATTTATTTTCAATAATTCATTCTTTCAATAAAATAATTTTACACGTAAATCTAAAAAAAAATCCACACTTTTTAACCATATATTTTTCAAAAAAAATCATTATTATAAAATTTATTTTCCAAAAAATATGGCTTATACAAAAATTAATAGACACTTGTTTGATAGTTATTAAAATTAAATTTTTAATAGATTTTGATAAAAAATGATAGAATGTGTGGTAAAAAAGTTGTGAATTTTATAAAATACGTGATTAAAATTAATTATTAATTTTGACTTTACTTTTAATCAGTTTTTTTAACTGTACCAAGCATTGGCTAAATATGAATCCTACTATTAGATTATTTGACTAAATATTATTAAGAAGAAATAATATTATCAATAATAAATTTATATAGAAACAGCGGATGCCAAAGTCATTTCATTACAACTTCCTAATACCCCTTTGGATTCCGTCCAATAAATGTATCCCTAACTACCACGCCAAACCACAACACACTACACCACACACCGATACCTTACCACTGCTCACCAATACTGCAATAGAGTAGATGCAATTTTTCTTCCTCGGAAAGAGAGGTCAGATCTGAAGTTCTAATGCCTCAAAAATGCTTCGCTTTCAACAGGATAGACAGTTTACTGATTGCGGAGGGAAGATGCTTTGAGTCAAAAGCCTGGATGCACTATTTGGAAACTGCAACGAAAAAGGGAGGTTCGAAAAAGGAGACAAGCGCAACCATATCTACTCTTGGTATGGGAGGTATAGGAAATACGATTCTCTCGAAAATTCTGAAGAAAATATAAGGTAAATATTATTGATAGTTCCTTTTGCTATTTTATGTTTTTTTTTTACTTCTTGTAATAAATTTGTGCTGAATATTTTGATAGAAAGAGGATGAAATAAATTATGGATGAACTTGAGGATTTTGACACACTTTAGGTGCATGGCGATCTCCGCCATTTGCAGCACTGGCAGCTTTGGTTGTCGTCGTCTGGACCCAGACGGGTTGGATTCCAGACGGCCAGTTAACTGGGGCGCCCAGTTTCTGGGCCTTGCAGATTCCAGACGACTCGTCTGGAATCCAAATACAGTCCTCTTGGGTTTTTTTTAAGTAGTTATTTTAAATGAAGGAAATGGTGGAAAATATCATGTTGATCTGACCATTTTTGCACAATAACCTTTCACCATAAAAATAAAAGATTTAAAATATTTTTTTAAATTACTTATTGAAATTGTTTATAAAACATTAAATAAAAAATTTCAAATAAATTATTTCATTTAATTGTTCATTTCATTTATATATTTTAATAGTTTGTCCAACATTTAGTTACAAAAAATCGTTTATTTAAAAATGAAATATTATTTCATTATAAATAATAAAAAATTAAATAAACAAAATAAATTGTTTCTTTGAATTTTTATTTAAAATTCTAATAATTATAATTAAATATTATATAAACAATTGTTTCTTTTATTTTGAAATATTAAGTGAACAAGTAAAATAGTTTATTTTAAATTACTTATTGATGTAAGTGTATTCTTGTCGATGATGTAAGTGTATTTTTGTTATTATTTGTTGTTTTATTTAATTATTAGTTGTTTTATTTAATTTAACGACCATTTTTGTAATTGGTGTTAGCACATCGACATGGCTATGGAACTGTTGCGCGATCGACCTCGGAGACACCCGAGATCTTTTGACATTCATGG